ATTAAAGAAGTTGAACAATTTTGGAATATGATGTTAGATGCTATTGAGTTAGCAAATGAGAAAAGTCCGGTAAATACAACTGAATGATTTTGTTATATTTTTTAATAACTTTTATCAAAATTATTGGTTTTCTCTTTTTTTTGTTGTTGTTATGATTTACTCGAATGAATTGTCAAGATATCAAGCATTGTAGATGAACTATTTATTGTTTTAGTTTACAAAATTCGAAATTATAATTTAATTTAAAATAAACTTTATATATATATATATATATCCAACTAGCCAGAGAAAGAAGAGTTGTATTATATATAATTGTATGAATCGTAACAAATTCATGAACAACCCAATCAATAAAAAATAAAAATACAATAAAATCAATACGAAATTTTATCTTTTAATTTTAAGCAAAAAGACAACTATTGTTGAGAGCATCGATTTAAAAATATCAACCTATCTATTGTTTAATCTTTTCTTTCTTGCTCGGCAACCATACAATACTTAAATCAAAAAGTCTTGATATTGAGTTCAAAATGAACAATTATTCGAATACATATTTTGTTTGATAAGGATAGTTCAATCTATTTTTATGGAAGATCAATCAATTTCTTAACAATGATCAAATTTGAATTATCTATTAGAGTCAACAAATTTTGTTGCAAAATTCACAATAATAAAAGTTATATTTTTCCTCCATGCAATTTATCGAAAGTATTTTGATAAACAGCATGCATTTTTTTTTTGTGCTCTGCACAGATCAAAATTTTGCTTTATATTTGTAACAACATCATTCATCTGATTTCGAATAACACATTTTGATATGTTCTTGCATTTATAGTCAAGTATAAATCTGTTTTCATTAAATCAATATATTAATTAGTACATATGTTTCTTTCATGCAAATTGAATAATTTCTTTTATGTAATATAATGTACATATATAAGTTGATTCTTATCTGCTATATAAAGCGTCTATTGACAATTATATATTTTTATTTTGTTCATTTGTACGCAAACAATTTTTATCATTGATTTTTATAGATTATAGAACTTTTTTTTTTTTTGATATAAACACGCTAAGAACATTGACATTTTCCTATTGCAAACAGTTCATTTCTTCACCTGACATTCGTCAGTTAGACCGTCGTTTTCTTCTCTTGAACTGAACAGAACGCAAAGAAAAGAGAAAAGAAAAAAAAACCAAGATCGTAACTGGTTAGGGTTGTTTTTTTTTTCTTTCTTCTCTTTCTTCTTTTTCGCTCTTTTTCATTTTCTTATTCTGTTGTGTTCGCGTATTTATCATTATCATTGTCCATATTTATTCATTACATTTTTGCCTCTCTACTGGTGTTTTTATACAAATCCCCTATTATAGCATATTTTCACCGACGGAGCACGCCAGTGTCCACTCACTAGTTCTAATTTACTATTCGTCGTTTTACTCAAATAACAACAACGAGGTGAGATGTAAGTCGAATATGGTCGCCATTTTAATTTACCAATAAGAATAATAATAAAAAACAAAAATCTTCTATTTATTTTAGGTCACATTTAAATAATCATGAACCATTATGTATTGTACATGGTTGTCCAAATGGTTTACAATCAAATCCTTCAATACAATATTTTGGTGTACCTGTACATATTGCAAATATTGCAGCAGCTTGGTATAAAAATACTATGCGTACAGATTTACGTCCATCACATACACATCGTGTATGTGAACAACATTTTGAAGAATCATGTTTTGATTATGTTGGTAATGGTACAAAAGTTCTTAAACCAAAATCATTACCAACATTATTCGATTTGGAAGTTTTTTATAAAATGATATCATTTCAAGATAAATTACAAGAAACAAATAAATCAAATAAAAAAACAAATATTACATTTCATACAAGTAATCCTGAAATTGATGGAAGAACATTAGAACCAATATTAAAATTAGAAAGTGGTCATGTTAAAACACGTTTAGCACCAACAACAATGACAGGAAATTCATTTCAACAAGATCAAATTGAAAAAATTCAATCATCATCTATTGTTAATAAAACAACATTAAATCATCATGAAAATGTAAGAAGAAAAAAAATTCTTTTTTTTTAAAGTTATTTTTGAGTTTTATAATTTTAGTTTGAAAATAAAGCTTCAAATCGTTGTCATGTTGATGGTTGTATACATAATTATATTGCACGTCGTCATCGTGTACAATTATATAAAATTCCACGTGATTCGACTGTTGCTCGTCAATGGCTTGATGCTTGTGGTTTTGAACATTTATCGATTTCACCATCAACATCAACATTTAAAGTTTGTCGAGAACATTTTACACCAAATGATTTTG